TCCCTACATACTAAAACCAGTTAAATTAAAAAAAAAATTAAGCATCACTATGGTTTGTGTGTACTGTTAGTTTACCTGTTTTTCAGTAAGAATTACTCTTCTCAGTAACTGATTCTCAAGTCCTTTCATTGTAACAGTAAAATCAATAATTGATGTTTTTGCATTAATTTCAGGCGTGAAAGCAGGATTGGGTAGCTTTGTAGTAACGTACAGTCTAAATGAACTCATAACTTCTACTTCCTTATCACCAACTTTCACCTGTGGAGTAAGTTAGAATAGTATTAAGCAGAAGAAAATGAGCTTTATTTGACTCAATAATATTGACCAGAAAAAAAATGACATTATTTGAAATGTCAAAGAGAGGAGATTTATTTCACAATTCAAATTTGTCATGAAAATAACAATTGATGACCAAAGGTAGCAGTTAGGCAACATTATAAAAGTAGCATTCCCAGATTACTTCCACTGTGGGTTCTAAGTAATGGCTTCAGAATCATTTTGGTTAGGCTTTGTGCTTCTAATCACACCTCAAATCATTGTTCTCTTGTGTTCAGGGAAAAAAAAATAAATTATTTGATCCAATAATGTAACATAATTAATTCTATATTTATTAAGATTAAGCAGATTCTAAAGAATCTTTCTAAAGGATCTATAAATTTATTCAGAGTTTTCCACAGAAACTTTTACAGATGTTAAGGTATACAAAATCAGCAGTCTAACTTGAAAGCTGCATGTGCACAAGGAAATCTGATCACTGTATATGACTTGCCAGGGCTACTTCAAATACATGGCTTAAGAAGGAATAGGACCAAACCACTCCCTTAAGCATATTGTTTGCTCTGAAATTCAAAGTAAAACTACTCCATGAAAAATAGCAATCATTTTATTTTCATTATCATCAACGATCTGGTCTACCATCTCTCTCATACCTCAGCCAGTTAATTAAGATTATTTGAGAAAAATACATATGGAAATATACAGCATGTGCAGTCATTTTATTTCCGGATGTTTTCAGGGGGTCTGTTTTTAAAATTTGTGACTGATTTCGTTATCTAATGAAGGTTAGAAAGACTCATGATATTTCAAGGTTGGGAGTATACTTCATCTTATTAATAAAACTTCACGCTTTTTGGCTTGTTCCATCAGAAACATGTTCTATTCCAGATTAAAGATTCTACAGTTGCTACAATCAGTGCTCCACACCAGGAAGAGGGAGATCTTTTCAATTCTATTAATTCTGTTAAAGGACTGTCGTGGTTTAACTCTAGCCAGCAACTAAGCACCACGCAGCCACTCGCTCACTCCCCCTGCCCCAGTGGGATGGGGGAGAGAATCAGAAGGGTGAAAGTGAAAAATTCATGGGTTGAGATAAGAATGGTTTAATAATTGAAATAAAATAAAGTAAAATAGTAATACTAGTAGTAATAATAATAATAATATACAAAGCAAGTGATGCACAATGCAATTGCTCACCACCCACTGACTGATGCCCAGCCAGTTCCCGAGCAATTGCTGCCCCCTGGCCAACATACCCCAGCTTATATACTGAGCATGACGTCATATGGTATGGAATAGCCCTTTGGTCAGTCTGGGTCAGCTGTCCTGGCTGTGCCCCCTCTCAGTTTCTTGTGCACCTGGCAGAGCATGGGAAGCTGAAAAGTCCTTGACTAGCATAAGCAGTACTTAGCAACAACTAAAAGATCAGTGTGTTATCAGCATTCTTCTCATCCTAAATCCAAACCACAGCACTATGCCAGCTACTAGGAAGAAAATTAACTCTATCCCAGCTGAAACCAGGACAAGGGTGTAAAAGGAAATTGTTTGAAAATCAATACAAAGTATTGTAAGCATTCGATAGGATAAACATAACTGGTTCCAGTTTGGAATCTTCAGTAGTAACTTCAGTAGTTAAATTTTAGACTCATGAACTTACTATTCAGCTGAGGCTCTGTATCCTATATTTTATTAGTTCAGTTTGATTCTTCACACTACCCTACTGAATACCAAGTTTACCTGACTCAGCAGAGGTTTGGAATAAAAAGGTAAAATATCATTCATCACAAAGCTAACTACTTATTCCAGCTCTTTTGTTTGATTACTAACCTTAAAAGAAGTTCCAGATTTAATGAAATTCTTTTCTAATATATTATCAAGGACTGGATCCAACTCTTCACCTATATCCTCAATCATGAGTGATCGTCCCAGTGAAAGACTATCTTCTAGGTGTGTACGGAAATACTTGTCATTCAAATTTGTTACCTCAAAAAATAAGTTATAAATTGATGTAAGGACAAAAACATTTCTTCAATGTCTTACATGAAAACCACAGATCTAACTATGAAAACTTTTCATTGTTTTTGTTGGTTGCATTTTAAAGAAAGTAATAAATGTTGACCGTGCAGCAATTTATGCAGAAATACTTCTTGTGTATACAATGAAAAGTACCATAAAAAGGTGAATTAAAAGATTGGTTGTAATGGAATCTGCAAAGCTTCACTATGAGGGTAATAATGTACCAAGTAAAACTGGTACAGCTTACTGGGAATTGAAGATGTTACATATATTTTTGAAATCAGAGATGCCTAACTTTTAACTTTCTATTCTATGTCTTGAGGACTAGATTTTCTAATTTTAGCTTTGAAGTGTTAAGAAATTCTTTCTGGAAACCTGAATTCAGTCTAACAGATGAATTGCTGTTACAATATTATGATCTCAGATGTTTGAAATATCATGAAATGGGATTCATAATACATGAAATCATTAAAAGACATGAATAAATAAATAAAACACTAATTTTGTATTGCTTCCTAGATTTTGGCTTTCAGAAAGTTCTCATATTATTTTCAAGATTTTCTCTACAGGTATGTAATAGGGCCATTCTGCTGGAAAACAGCTTTGCAGAAAAGGACCTTGGGGTCCTGGTGGACAAAAATTTGAGCATGAGCCAGCAATCTGCCTTTGCAGCAAAGGCCAACAGCATTCTGGGCTGCATTAGGAAAAACATTACCAGCAGTTTGAGGAAGGCAATCCTTCCCCTCTGCTTAGTACTGGAGACACATATCTGGAGTCCTCTGTCTAGTTCTGGGCTCTCCAGTATGAGACACTGAAGTGAGTCCAACAAAGGACCACTAAGATTATTAAGAGATTGGAGCACTTGACATATGAGGAAACCCGAGAGAGTTGTGATTATATGCTACTTCATTTGTGAAAAGTTCATTTGTGATGCAAACTACAGGTGACATGAACGTCTTTGTATTATATTTCATGAGCAGACATTTAACCCTATTGACTTAAGCTATAAAAGAGCTATTAAAATTGAAGTAACATTAGGATAGACAGATTTTCCTTGGATTTGGTTTCAACTGGTTGTCCTCAATTTACTTTTGAAGCAGTAATTTCATGAATGATTTCCATCTCTGGTTCTAAATTCTGTACTGCATCAGTTTAAGTACTTTGCCTACACTTTCAAAGCTGTAGGTTATCCTGCCTTTGCCTGTAATCTTACTAATAGTTGCCCAATTTACTCTCATTTAATAATTTCATATTATACTCTTTTGCTATACTTTGCACCACTTTGCCCTCTGTACAGGGAACGTATTCACCAATTTTCAACACAAGGCTACCTCCTTCTCTTTAATACCAGTATTTACTTACTATATAATCTTTTCCAAGTCCTTGAATGGGATTTACAGCTCTTGTCAAGTTCCTTGCTGATGCATCTACATTGTCAGCCTCCATACAAGTTAAAATTCTTTCAGATATGTGTGTATATGAGAGTTACACTGATTCAAATGCAGACACACCCTAAAGCAGTAACGTTTGAAGGAATATAATACAGCACATTGTTCCTTTAAAACACTGTTCACCTGTAATTCATTATCCTGTTCTTTCTTTTTAATCCATGATTTTCCTTGAGTTTGTGGGTCTACCAAAAGGGGGTATCTAGTTGCCTTAGTGACAATGATACCATTCTGAATTGAGAGATCATCTCCAGGCAGTCCTTGAAGATTCCACTCCCTTATCTGAAGAACAAAAAAAAAAAAACCAAACAAAAAAAGAGAAGAAACTAGTAGTTTGAAATAAAATCTCACAATCTCACTGGAATTATCCTTCAGTTATGATTGTTCTAAGAAATAATGGGGACATCAAGCCAAAGGGGATGCAAATCTGAACCTTCTGAGAAGTGATTAATGCAGATGGAAAAATATTTCCAGGATTTTATTTTATGGATGTTTTTAACTATATAGAATGATAAAAATATATTTTAAAAGTGTAAGAAAGTCAAAAGGCAGCTTGACAGCCAAATTAAACACTGGGATCAATTAAGAAAAAAACAGGCTAAGAGAACTTTTGGGGCTTAATATTTACTGAAGGAAACTTGAAGATTCTGGCCTTGTCTTCTGTTTGGTTTCTCATACATTCACATTGAATGAAAAGACTTTATACATTCTCTTTTAAATGCTGTCTTTGATATAAAATATATTTTTGAAACCAGACCCAGATAAGATTGATAGAACCAAAAGCTAACCACCAAACCCACTGTTTTAGTAGGTATGTGATCTATAGCTGTGGTGATGGGTTCTCAAAATAAAATACTTGAAAGTGCACTGTCTTACTGGCAGTTGTGTAATTGTATAACATGTCACTTGTTTATAATACAGAACTTGTTTATCTAGCTAAACATTGCTCAATACTCAGATGTTTAGTGGAAATTGCCAGGAACATTTGGAAACCACAGAACTGCACTCCACAGCAATATTGGGGATTATAGTTCTGTTCTAAGCAAGCATAATGCTGGCTAAGTCACAGAATATGTTAACTGAAATTAAAACGAAACCCACCAAGCACCAGGAACTTACTGTTGGCAGATCTACCAAGATAGAAATCAGGTTCAAGTTTTCAGAAAAGGGGATTTTATGGGCTCTCATCTCTGCTTCCCATAAATCTTTAAGCAAAAGCTTCCTGAAGTTTTGATTAAAAGGTCCACAGTATGAAAGAAAACCTGTGCAGAGCAGTACATCTCCCACAAGTCTAGAAAAGGAACAAAATCATAATTAAAAGGTGATGTACAATTTCAATTTCTATTGATTTAGACAACCAGCTTCTGAAACATAAGCAGATTTCTGTTCTGAAGACAATTTAAGCAGAGAATTGTTGCTCTTTGAGAACAATAGTTTCTTTGTGTTTCCAAAATATTTTTGTGGCAAAACTTAAGAGTAGTACCATATGAAAACATTATCTTCACGCCTACAAAGTAATAAAGCCCTGATGACAACTATTCCTTCTTTCATAACTGAAGCAAGAAATTGGTTTATTTCTTAAAAATATGTCTGCAATACAACATTCATCAAAAGATACAAACTTAATTCTCTTGGAATCAGCAGACCTGACCAGAAATGCCCAACTGTGTTTAGCTGTGCCTAAACTTTCAGGCTCTTTACATTTAGGAACCATTTTGACAGGTTGCCTGTTTTCTAGACAGCTAGGATCTCTGGCTCCTAAGCTGCTCAACATTTTGTCATTTGGACAGCAACACAATGGGGACTCCCAAGTTTCCACGTTTCTCAGAATAAGGCCTACTGTCCCACATGTGTTTGAACACACAAAATATAGGACAAGGGTTACTGTCTGGTCTCTAGGCCTCCTTCTTTTATTCAAATATGCCATAACTAACATTAAAAGGGAAGCTTCTTTTCCTATCCAGTTTTAGGCTAGGAATCCTTCCATTTTCCTTCTCAGTGCCAGCCTCAGACAATCCCTACCTTCATGCCTATTGGAAATATTGGAATGAGGTGCAGTGTTAGGGGGTCAGGAGAGGCAGCTGTAATACAGGCCCATAACTGCACTAGAAATAATCCTCTTGGAAATAAATTCCAAAATCAGAGGTATTGTTCTGAACTGAAATACAAGCATTCAGCACTAAGGTATTCACTTGTGGGAGAAAAATTCAAATTTCAGGATAGTTCACTTAGTTGTGTAACTATATTAAGATTTCCAGGAGGAAAATGAAGTACAACTATTAAAGCTACTAAATTGCTTACTAGCTCTTCATTTTTTACACATATTTTGGTTTTTTTTTTCCTCTGATGAATTTTATACCTGTTAATCTGAGATTTAAATTCTTTACTTTGCTGAGTCCACCTAACTTTCTCTCCACTCAGTCCATCTATAAGCACAGAGGCTGCTTGCATCTTTCTTCTGCATGTTTCTGCATCATTCAGTAAGTCCTAAAATTGAAAAAATATCCTACTTAGTAATAGAATGCAAAAATCTAAAGGGATATTTTATACATTTTTTCATGCTCTTATATTTATTATGACTATTTTATTTAATGAACACTCATTCTTGAGAAGTCTAAGTGTTTCTATTGTCTAATATGTTCTTACTCAGGTAAAGAAGGAAATACGAGAGAACATAGATTTAAATCTCTTATTTTTATACCTGAACCTCATCCATGTCACTCAAGGTAGCAGGCCCTAAATGCATGTTCATATCAGTTCCTGATTACATAACAGTATTGTATGCAAGCATTTTTCATAATACTAAAATATTTTTATCTCACCATTTTCTCCTTCATTGCTGCATCAAACTTTGCCTGGACTTTATCCAGTTCAGCTTGCTTGTCATCTAATGCCTCCTGAGCCTTTGCTAATTCTTCATTAGCTGTTTTCAGGTAGCCTTCCTGTTTTGCCAAGTTAGCCTGCAAAGAGAAGAAACATTAAAACAATAATCATACAAGGTGTGAATATACTTTGATGAATTATTTTAAGCCTGCTTAGTTGGTAATCATGAGACAATAATACATCAAAATAATTTTTATATTAATATTTA